ACAGCGAGATACATTGAAATACACTTAAAAGGTAACAGGATCTTCAATTTGCTCAGCCCCAAACTCCGTCGTCTTTGTTCAAGAACAACCCTAATGTCGTCTTGTCGAGAGGGCCGCGATTCTGACTCGAAACGTCATTATTCCCGTTTGGATCAAGAACCAGTCCAAAGAGATCTAGGAAGCACAATAGACCAGTCGAACTTTCCTCTTCTTCTTTGTCTCCTCCGCTACTCAATTTTATCAAACAGTCATAGACCTCATTCTATTACAACTTCTAGGTATCCGGAATTGAGGAAACAGTGATTTTGGCTTGGCATGAGAAGAAAGAGCGGAGATTCGCCGCTGATGGTGGTGGTGGCAGAGAAGCTTTCCAGGAGGAAGAACGATCGACGAAGGAACTGTTGAGAGAGACCATAAGTTTTTATGGCTTTGAGAAAGAGGGTGGAGAAAATTTTGAAAGAATGAGAGAGAAAAACAATACAAAGCGTATTTTATGGCTTAAGGGTAGCAGATGACCATAAATAGATATTTGGCTATAAAATCAAAAGGTAGCTATGAAATATAATTTTTTTAAAAGGTATTTATTTAATATAAATAAGGTATCAACCTTTGCTATAGGAGGTAAAAATTCCTACTTAATTTTGTGTGGCAGTGACACTCCAGATCTCTGACTGAAATATAACACATGGGATTACAGCTGGACAGATTATTGTATTCGACTATATTCACGGCGTGAAACAGGGGATTACAATTATTTTTAAACGGAAAGTGAACTAATTAACATAATAGACTCCTACTTTAACTCAACAAACTCAATTATAACACACAAATTTTGTATTTCCAGTTATAAAAAGATTCTCAACCGAAAAACACCCCAAAAACATAGCAATCTTCAGAGAAATTATATAATACATCTGAATACATAAATTATATTAATTAAAAAAATATATGAATACATTCATGGAATATAGCGAGACAGTGAATACAATGTAATACATAGAATACAACGGATACATTAAATACAATGGAAAAAAAAGACAATGAATACAATGAAATACATAGAATACAGCGAGATACATTGAAATACAATACAAAAAAAAAGTAACAGACTTTTCAAGTTGCTCAGCCCCAAACTCCGTCGTCTTTGTTCAAGAATAACCTACACAAGGTAAAAATTCCAAAATTATATACAAAAGATCCAAAATCATCGAAGCTCTCATTTCAAAAATTCTTTCTATGATTTTTTGCGTTGGTTTCAAGAATCCAAAATCCATGAATCCAAAATTCCAAAATTACATACAAGAACCAAAAATCATCGTCTTTGTTACAGAAATGATGATTCTGACGATGTTGATGGCATCGTCGTTTGTGAGGTCTCTCTTTTCACTTCCCCAAGCATTTTATATCTCACTTTTCTATTGTTTTTCTGATTTTTGCGTTGGTTTCAGATTTCTAAGAATTGGAGAGTATCAGTTAGGAGCTTTCAAGGGAAGATAATGGTGGATATTCGTGAGTTTTAAAAAGGCGGAGGTTTTGCGTCAGAAGAAAGGCGGAGGTACTGTGATTTGTGGAGTTGGTTGAGAGAGAGAGGGTGGAGAAACATCTTGAAAGAATGAGAGAGAAAAATAAATCAAAGCGTGTTTTATGGATTAAGGGTAGGGGGTGACCATAATAGATATTTGGCTATAAAAATCAAAAGGTAAGTATGCAATATAATTTTTTAAAATGGTATTTATTTAAAATAAATAAAGTATCAACCTTTGCTATATGAGGTAACTTATACTAAAATAACCAATAAATCCGTTTGGAATTGAGCCTAATTGATTCATAGAACTTAAATACGTTTGGTTGTGTAATTGATGTTTAGTACACAAATAGAAACCTAGAAATATCCTAAAAGTGCTAGCTGTTATGAAACAATAAAAGAAGAAGAGTATTGTAGAAAAAAGTGTAGAGAGAGAATTTTTATTAATTTAGGATGAATTACAATTGAATAGAACCCCTATATTTATAGGAAAAAAGTGACTTGGCCACCAAATAATAAACCCTAAGATCTCTCTAAAATATATACATTCACCATAAATATAATTCTATTTATAACACTCCTCTTGCCTATTTAGCATATAATGTGCCTCGTTAAAACTTTAACTAAAATAAAACCCAGTGGGAAAAAAATTATAGAGAAGGAAAAAGAGTACTCATATCTAACAATACGCCTTTTGGTTGCCTCGTTAAAAATCTTGCAAGGAAAACTCAGTGGGACAAAACCTTGTAAGGGAAAAAGAGTACAACGCATATTAATTCCCCCCTGATGAGAGCATCAATTCACATCCTTGAGCCTTCACATCTCAATCTTGTGCACTAGCTTCTTGAAGGTTGACATCGGTAGAGATTTGGTGAACAAATCATCCATAAAATCACTTGAATGAATATGTTGCACCTTGAAAATCATCGCTATCACATTATCATGCTTATAGTTATAGCAAGATACAGATGTACACAAATTGCACTGAGGATGTGGTACTTCAAGATCAAGAATTCTATATGTTTTGAGCAATATCCTTCAAGGATTGTCATATAAGTTAAGCCATAAAATAGAAATTAATTAGATGCATATCAAGTTTTCATGTCATGCTAGACAAATAATATATCGAAAACTGATTGCACATACCATTGACTTTATACTTTCAAGTGTTTGTATTCGACAAACTTAAGATCCTCATCTATACTTAGCGTTATGATAGATGTCGTCGACAAACACTTTATTTCGGTTTCTATCTCCTTATTTTATATAGACATAACATAGTGATCTCTTCGTTCATATTCAGGTACCTAAATCTCTCCTGAGATTTTATGAAGTGTTATGTCATATAATCTTCTAGATCACTTGCCTCCTTATTATGATCATTTTGATCATTTGCTCATCTTCTTTATTAAGAAGTTTATTTGAAACTGATTTGTCTATACGGTTTAAGCGTACCATAGACTTTGCCCTTCTAGGACTTATTCTAATAGGAGCATTTGCAGTGAGAATATAGTTACTTTCTTTGGGTCAGCAAATGTGTCTGGCATGCTTTGCAATATATTGCAAATGAATTATCTTTTTATGAACTTCAAGTTCATATTATTTTATTCGAGGATCTAGATGTACACACGATAATTCATTCCACGTAACTTTTTCTCAATTGTTTATCTTATCTCCCCCTCACGTTAGAAAAACTAATTTGCTTCCTCAACTTTGAAAGCCCATCTTTGTGCGTTATGGTGTTAATAAAAATATACATCGCACATCAATAATATTGAGATGAAATTATTTGGTTCCTGACCTTGAAGCCACTTGTGAGGGGAAAATGTAATATACTTTGGTATATGACGTGTATCAAACTGACATAGATAACTTTGTTCTCATAAGCAATAGTTTAGCTATTGAGTAGAGGCACTCAATAAATTCTTTTGCTAAATCAATTGTAATGTAAACCAACTTATCAAGATGGATTGTCTTGAATAGAAAATCTAAAATTATGCTCTAAATTAAATTATTGAGCAAGTTACCTCGCAAACACCATGTTGCGGGTTAATAATAATCGCACATGTAACCATCTCATAGATGCATTTTATTTGATACTTCCAGCATTCATGGGATTCAATCCCAATTTTAGTTGGTATATTAAATAATGAGAACATGCAACATAAGAGAATTCGTAAAGAACTTTCTAGTTCTTTAATATTTACCCATGTAAATTCTCTTTTGTTTTTGCACATCATACTCAAATTAACATGGCTAAACCAATTATTCCAACTGGATAAATTATCAATACTGATAAAGTTCAGATTTACACCATGACGTGTGCAATTATCAATAAACTCCAAGTTTATTATGACATGTGTTTTTATATCAATAAACTTCTACTTTATTGTGGCATTCTTTTGTTTGTGTAGTACAAACTGGAGATAAAACGGGTAGCTTTTCACATACATATTATCCCGCTACAAGTTGTAGTAAGAAGATATTATATCTTTCCTTTATTTATAGTCTCAGTATAACTAACCGCTTTCGCGAATGAATAAGTTTCTTTGCGACTTACTACGACGCAATAAATTGACATGATAATCATTTGTATTCCTCCAAAATAGTAATAATTGGCTCTTCAGAGCTCTCAATTAATTTTATACTACCACATATTACTATGGTCATGGTCGGAATTTTATACAAGATTTGTTCCTTGCATTACTGTTGTCTTTTGATAATCATAATGCCAAAATATTTTGGCGTACAATAAGTACATGACCAATGACCATTTATGCCATAATAACTGATATTATTTTCTTATTTCCTCTCAAACCTCCTTCCAGAGGTAAGTGTAGTATATTCACTACCACTAACACGTTTTATTCTTTCAAGAATAAATATGTATTCATAAATACATGTTGTCACACTCACACCATGAATGGACCATAATCATCTATATGTGCTTCACAAAATTTCATGTTAAATCGATGACAAATATTACTTTCACATAGTGAAGGATTATTTTGAGAATCCTTATTATTCTCATTAATACAACGATGACGATTATAATTTCGTCTATTGCCACATCCACATCTATTGATACCTTCACGGTAATAATTTTGTCTTCTTTCAGACTTTTTACATATTGCTACCACATTCTCTTAAGGGAATGAGAATGAAGCAAATTCAATGGGACGAGTTTTCAGTTCTTGCGCCCACAATCATACATGAACTAGTATCTATTCATACAATGCTTGACACTGAATTTCCATTAAAGCATTTAAGATTTGGTGTGGAATTATCTTCCTTGTAATCATACTTGCTTATCTAAAATGGTTTAGCAATTGACTGAAAGAATCTAGCAGATGACATGTTAACTAAGCACCATTTGGCATGGCTAACATGAGAAGAAGATAGATATCAAGGGCTCTCTTTAGGGTGGCACTTGCGAGCATCATAGAAGAAAAAAACAAAGGTCAAATAAACGAAGGAAAAGAATAGCGTGAATGCAATATATTGCCATTTGGTGCCAAAATAAGTTGTCAAAAGTGGAATATATGACTCGGATAGCCAAAAAACAAACCAAACACTTCATCCTATTCAACAATTACACAATCAATTTATGCTCATGTCAGCTTCACAAAGTTATATACTGTTACGCCGAATGCAGATCTTGAAAATCTTCTAGATTGTGAGCTAATATCATAATCTCAAGAAGATTTAGCTAGCAGAGGCTCGTCAGCAACTCCTTTTCCTTTTAAAGGTAGGATGTACGACTCCGTTGCATGATTGTAGTTTATCAATCCTTGCCATACAATCCTTCATCCTATTTAATGCAACGGGTATAGCGGAAGCACTCTCCAAATTCTTCTTTTTAAGGAGCTGTATTTTCTCAGCTTCTTTCCGCTCCTCTCCAGCTAACATCGCAATATCAGTTGGTCCTCCAACATCTGTAAAGAGACCGGGATAACAATTACAAACAAAACAAAGAGTTACTGAAAATAATCAGTGAGCTTTAGACAATCTTTAGACTGTCATATTAAAACTTTATACAGAAAAGGTGATGCTCCTAATAATGTCAATATTAAACCCTAATGAGAAGATTTGACTAGGGTGCATTTAGCACTCATCACACTATGTGTATATTTCAAGCCTTGTAATTCTCAATCATAGGATGGACATGACCATACAAACTGGAAATAATACTATAATACTACCCCTCGCGCCCAATAACTTTTTCTGTGAGTGGTCGAGAAATGTAACAATTTATTTGGGACAGTAGGTGGAACCAGACTGTTTCATTTTTGTCCTAAATCATTTTTTTTATAAGGTAAATCATTATTGCCACAGTAAATGCCGTTTTTGATGTTTTTCATTAGTCTCAAAAAGTTACCGGTTACATAGGTTTTTCTAGTTGGCTTTGAACAATCAATAATACCATTATGAACATGGAAGAACTTGCTATGTGAAAGATCAAAGAAGTGAACAACCTAAGAGAGATATCGAGCAACCATTCATTATTCCTAAAGGTGCAGAGTCCACAGGGCTTTGGTTCACAATATGTGGGTTAATGGCATGTCACGTCGAACCCTGCCATGGATAAAAACCTGATATTTAAGTGGATAAGTATAGAGGGGCTGAGCCATTCAAGATCGAGTTTTGAACCGTGTAAGTAGCTCGCCCTCGGGGATTCCTCAGTTATCCAAAAAACAGTGGGATGATCATGGTACCATCTGCACAATGATTCAACAGTTGAGAACAACAGATGGCAAGTTTCAAAACAATGATGTTAATCCAAGATTCCTCGCCAACTATATTTTCCTCCAATCCAGTGTGGCTAATTCATACAGTGATTTACTACATTCCTGAAGATCAAAGCGTTTAACCAACCCACGTTTCCAGGTTAACTATTCTTATAATGGGTACATGCTAACTGAAGAGTTTAACTATAAGAGAGCTTTTCATTTAAAAAGAAGTATAAGGAGACAATTTTGTATACAAACAGAGCCATCTGATCCTCTTTCAAAATCATTCATGATGCCATTCTCCCCAATGCGCTTTGAAATTTTTTGGACGAGAGGTTTTGGCTTTCACCATAAACATAGAACTTGAAGAAAACGTGTTGCTCAATTAATTTGGTATTGCATGTATAGATCATTTTGTTCCATTACCCCTTATTTTTCACCTGGTTTCCTAGGATTCCACAAGATTATAGGTCTTTCGAGACATGTGACTTCACGTCCACCTCGTCTGCTTTTAATACCTTCACTCATCATAATTCCACAAATATTATATTCCATCGAATTTACATCTAATCAAACACCACAAAATGACTTGAAGTCAGAAAAATGGTGTTCTTAGCTATTACTATCAAACAACTCTGCTACAATCCCAAACTGATTAGGGTTCATGCCGCTCTTTCCAGCTTAATAAATCAACCAAAATTTGGGCCTCTATTCACCTGCTTTTATTCTACACCAACATTGTGCCAGAAAAAGCAGAATGAGCTTATAAATTACAATATATATTCAACAATTTCACCTCCAGATAAAGAACAGTTGAGTATCACAATTTTACTACTAGTAGTTCTAGAACGTTACTGAGCAAAATATATATAATTAAAACATTATGCATCTGTAATTTCACAATAAATGAGAAAACCAAGAAACGTACCAGAGCTGCAGGGATCACTAGAGGACCCAGGTTGAAATACGGATCCGTTGTCAAAACGGGTCCCCAACACGGGTCTTTGAGCCGCAAAAATGGAAGAGAGATCACTTTCAAGCTGAGCAAGAATTCTGCCCCGGTACTCCGCTATTCTCTCAGCCTTTTGCTTAACTTCTTCCTCCAGTAACTCTACTTCTTCCTCTAGTAATTCTACTTCTTCCACCAGTATTCCTGCTTCTTCCAGTTCGGTTATGTCATCATTTTGCTCCACAGTTTGCTGCTGAGCTTGACCCAACATTGTAGAGCGGGGATTGGTCGAGTTTGAAATGAATTTTGAGGACCCCTCTTTAATTGGTACTCCTTCTCCTTCCCTTTCAATTTCTGTAACTTGATTGGTTACACAAATGTAACAAAAACTTTTCAATCTTAGATTAACATTCCAAAAAAACTTTTGGAATCTTGTGTATCATTAAAGATAAAATGAAAGTATTATAAAAATAATTATTTTTTAAAACACATCAAAACTATAAGTAAGACACACAAATTAACCGAGATAATATAACTATTTTTAGTTTTTGCAATTATAGTCCTAACGCATTTCAAAATTTTAACCGAAATGGTCCCTAAGTATGAATAGAAGTTCTACTTCACCCTTCCTCAATGTCAAATTAATTGAGATGACTTTTGCTCTCGGTTATAATTGGGACTAAATAAGCTTCCACCGTTTGCAAAACAGCTCATCTATGGCCTTATTCATGGATGAAGCTTTATTTTGTTCAACTTAATTCCTATTTTTGTTGATTAGCCTTTGGGACTGGCACGTGTCCCCTAAGTGGCAAATTTAGTTCACCTTTTTAAAGTGGTGAAAAGGGAGAGGTACACGGTTATTGAACAATTAGTTTGGATAACAATAAGATTAGCTAATCCATGTGTCACACCATTTTCAAATTTCACAATTATCAGATTGCCATTCAATTTTCGTGACTTTTCGGCCTAATTGAATCAAACCAGGTGGTAAAACAGATGCCAAAGATTCAACCACAGTTGAGTACCCTTTAGCTATAGTTAGTTCATCTCCAGGAAAATTACAATACTGACTTTCTCCATTGAAATCTAAAGTACCCAAATCACCAACTGATGAATAATGCCTATGTATATTCTCAAACATAGCAAAAACACCTTCTTCAAGTGATTTTCTACTCCATTTATCAAACACTTCAACATTTTCTTGATCTTTCTTTAAATTCCAATAATATTCAAGACCTTTCCTAAGAAAAGAACCAATACTTAGATTTTTAATACTACCATTTTCAAGATTTAAACTTTCAAGAATTTCTTTACATGCCTCATCTTACTGGATTTTAAAGTGTTGACAAGGGAGAGGTACACGGGTATTGAACGATTAGTTTGGATAACAATAAGATTAGCTAATCCTTGTGTCACACCTCTTTTCCGAAGAAAAAGAGTTTTTCCTATTAAAGTGATATTATTTGAAATGAGATTATTTATTTTAATTAGAGTCGCCACTTGGAATAATTATTAAGGTGTCCCAAGTCACCGGTGTCGCACCTCATTTTTTCTGAGGGGATAGGGAGTTTTTTTAATTAAAGTGACATTAATCGAAATGGGATTATTTATTTAATTTCAGAATCGCCACTTGGAATAATTTATGGTGTCCCAAGTCACCGGTTTATTTTAAATCTCAAATCGAGGAAATTTGGCTCTTATTTATGGTCCGCAAACACAGAAGACCGGGTAAGTACTTCTGTTAACACGGGAGAAGGTGTGAAGCACTCCCGAGTTCTGTGATTTTAGCATGGTCGCTCAACTATTAAAATTGGCCTAATTATCTTGTTTAATACATATTTAAAACCTATTGTGCATGGCCGCTTTTATACCGCTTTCAATTATTTATGGAATTCATTTGAACATATCGCGATGTCGCGCACGCGTTTTGTTTTTGTAAATATTGCGAATAGAGTCACGTGAATCGCACTCGCGATCTACAACATGTTTATTTTTATTATTATTTGAAGTTATGGTCGAATGACGTGAAACGAACACTCGAATTGGGTTTTACGTATCATGACTATGTCACGGGAACCGTACCCATAGTTACGATGATTTATTATATGTTCATTAATGATTATTTCCTAAGGTTTGAGACTGTGCATGGGTCCAGTCCTAATTGTCATAAGAGGAAAGACATCCGGGCCTTTTATTCAGGCCCGAGCAACATCCAAATGAGTTCTGTTGGGTCATTTATTTAGAATGGCCCAAACGAATTGGCCTGGCCTCCGTTATGACAAGGATTTTTCAACATCCCATTTGTAATTTGAACTCAACACTCGTACAATGATTTTAAGAGTAAAATCCAGTAGGATCCATACACAACTAAATTCAACTGTGCATAAAAATTGTGCTAACCTTTCTTCAAAAACACAATTAAACATGATTCGTAAAGCAAATATCACATAGATCTTTATACGCCGTGTCCAGATTGTGCTTTTTTAGGATCAGAATTAGCTTTAAAGTGATTAAATTCAACTAATCTAGCATTCATAGGTCTGTCATTATCACAACCAAGCAAACTAACATACGGATTCAAACCAACAGGAAATTGCATAACTTTCGTTCCATTTACCCAAATACTACAAGCTTAGGAATATATGTATACCTGTTTGAAGCAAAAACAAAAAGCAAACTGGACCGAAAGCCAAATAAATGGGAGATGCTTCGAATTGGAGCCCAACTTCAGCGAAAATCAGCAACTTAGACTTCGAACAACAGCAGAAGAAATGGAGCAAAATAAAGGTCTGAGTTCAGCCACTAAACGGCCAATTAAACAGCAGAAATCAACACACAGCTTCAACTTCGAATTCAAAAACTTCTTGGGAGCCCAGAAAACTACTAAAACAGCTTAGCAGAAATCAGAATGAATTCTTCAAACCCCTTTTTTTCTTTTCTTCAGATCCGGAATTTTTAATTCAAATCCATCCCCTTTCTCTAAGTTTCTAAATGTGTGAGTTAGTGTGTATGAGAGAGGGATATTCGTGTTTGGATGGGAGTGAAGTGAGAAAGAGCAGTGTAGAGCTGTTTAGAAAAGAGAAAGAGAAGACTGCGGTTTTTGGAAGGGGAGGTCTGTCCGACTCTTTTGGAGGAGGGAGTGTTTTAGACTTTTAGTAGGCAGAAAAGAGGGACGGCGACGTTTTGGAGCTGAACGGCATTTGAGACCTGGAGCCAGGCGGGTCGGGCATTTGGACGAAACTGGGGCGGGTGTTTGGTTAAAGATTGGGCCTCAATCCTTGGCCCAGTTCGTTTGAAGCCTTGGCAAACCTAGCTCTTTTCTTTCTTTTCAATATCAGATTTTGGCAAACTCTAGCCATTCTAAACTCAAACTTTAATTGAATCTAATTTTTATATGGCTAGCCTATTTATTTATTTTACTTAATGACGGACTAATGCAACTATTTAATTAACTAACTTAAGAATGCAAATTTTTTTGATTTTTAGTTATTTAAAAGATGCATTTAACAATGTAATTAAATCGTAAAATGCAATTTAAAATCTAACAGCCTATGAAATTAAGGTTTGAACATTTTTTTTATGATATTTATGATTTTGAAATAACTCTAAATATGCATGAACAACTCTAAACTATTTTGGAATATTTTTAGCAGTATTTTGCATTAGGTCAAAAATTAGGTGCTCACAACCGGTTTATTTTAAAATTCCAAATCAAGAAAAATTGACTCTGTTTAAAGTTTGTGAAATACAAAAGACCGGGTAAGGAATTATACTAACCCGGAAGAAAGTGTTAGGCATTCTCAGATTCCGTGGTTTTAGCACGATCGCTTTATGACCATACCTGGCTTTATTATTTGTTAATTAAGTCTTTTAGAACCTATATGCGTTTTCACCTTTTACCGCTTTTACTTACTTAATTATGGAGTTTATGGAATTAATCTTTAAAACAAATCACGTGTATGTATTCGCTTTTGTTTGGTATGTCAAAATTATATCACACGGACGTGTACACAACTAATAACACTTTATTATTATTAAGACTAGTGAATTCAATCGCGTTTCGCGCGATTTTATAAAGCTTCAACAGTCTATAAAAAATAAGAAAGCAATAACGAATTCATTATTATCCCTCTTTTATATGAGGAAAAAAATACTTGTAAATTAAAATATATTTGGAATAAACTCGTAAATTTGGTTTATTTTTCTGCATTACACTTTTATGTAATGTATAGTTAATTAAATGTATACTAATGAAGCTTATTTAAGTTTTATCTATTAAGAAAGTTCAAGGAGTGTTAATAAAAATCTTAAAAAATTAAAATTACTAATGACAAAAAAAAAAATTAAGAGTTGTAAATTGAGAAGGTAAAAGAAGTGTAGTTATTAGAAAGACCACTTTCTATTTGCCCACGCCGCGCAAATTTGGAACTTCTTCTGAATTTTGTAATACATTATCCTGCCATTTAAAACACTATTTTATGAGATATATTTTTCATGGAGTAACTACAACATTACATTAGAGATTAACACATAATTTAAGAAAGAAATTAGTAAATATTAACGTTACATTTAAATTGAAAACCCGAAATAGTTAAAATCCTAAAAGCAAAAAATAATTGTTGTACGACTTTACCCATTGTACAAAACAGAACTTTTAAAATCATAAAAGTATTAGTTAATACATTAGACTTTAAAGATGATAAGGAACCAAAATATAATTCATTTAAATCCTAACTATAAAAGAATATAATTACCATTTAATCTACATTTTTTTTAAAATTTACCTCACACTATTATTAAGGCAAAACTTCGTATCCTTCTAAATTGTAGTAGGTTTGGACCCACTCTAAAATAGTTATTACATATTTACAATCTATAGCACAAATAAAAATCTTAACCACTTCAGATTATCATACAAACTTACTTGACCTACTGGCAGCCTTCTCAGATTTTATTGTCTCAAACTCATTTTAGTCATATGATAATAATTTTTTTTATACTCAATCAAAATATTCACAAAGCTTACCATATAAAAAGAACTAACGATTCAAACCATTCTCAGTAAATGATTTCCTCGTTTGGTGGGGTTGTTGTTCTTTATTTTTCTAAGAAAGTCACTACCAATCTTGTTCTCCTCATAATTCTTCTTTTCTTCTCCTTATTTGATTTTGCTTCTTCTGCTTGTTTTTCTAAAAACAAATATTTAAGTATTATGAACCAAATGGAAACAAACTAAAATGTTGGAGAAACAGTTCAGAAAGTGTTGGAGACGTATGATTGTAAAAGAGTTATGAGTATTAGAAAATAAGTAAATTAAGACCAAAAAAAACTAAGGTAAATTGAAGAACATATATAGTCGTGAACCCAAAATTAAAAGTAGAAAATATCTTTGTGCATTTACCTTAGCTTGTTCAAAAACAAAGAAAGAATATTAAAAGTTTATCCATTTTTGGGTGGCGTTCTTCTTCTGCACTCTATAGGCTTTGACATAGAGCAAAAAGAAGGCATAATAAGTAGGTAGAATAAAGTTATTACAGGAGTACGCCGCTCCAGTTCCTTCGTAAATGTTTCAAGAACTTCCTTAGATCTTGCTTTGTCCCTCTCCATTGTCATCAGAAACTATGATCTTGGTGTATATATATAACCGCACACATCAGTTTAGAAAATTATTTATTAGTGATATGAACAATAACTTTTTACCATTATAATTTTAGGGCGGAGACCGGAGAGGACTTAATTAGGATTTGGAATAGAAATACAATATGAGATTAGAAAAAGAAGCGGAAAAGATACAAATGTAATTAAGAGATTATGAAACTGTTTTTGCTAATTATATTGTAAGCAAACCAACGTTCGGTTAGTAGTGACGTTTGGGTTTTCAAACATTAAGAGGTGTTATTGTTTTTCACCAAGAGGCGTTACGGAATGAGAGGAATAAATGCCAAAAGATCGTGGAAAAGGATATGTGTAATTCCTTGTTAGTTTTTAAAAATAGCACAAAATAAATGGGAATATAAGTAGAAACAGTAGGGAAAACTCCAAAAATTTGAGAAAATAGATAATTGTGATTCTTGGCCAAAGAGAGGTGGCACATCACCTTCTTTATATATATATATATATATATATATATATATATATATATATATATATATAGGCAAGACATAAAATTTTTACCACTTCACGTGATTATAATTTTACAAACTCTATTAGAGTCATAATCATTATTTATTGTCTTTTCTTTTACTTGTATTTAAAATCAAATTATAGAATGTCAAGAATTTAAAAGAGCAAACTAAAGTAAAATACTTACCTTAAATTCAAAATTTAATCATGAAGGATTCATGGAACAACTGACAATCATTATGTTCAATCCCAAAACTTCTACTCAATTGGATAGAGTCTCGCATTGATAAGGTGTTATAAAATAATAAAAGAAAAAGAAAGTATTGCAGAGAATAGTAGAGAGAGGGAATTCTTATTGATTTGGATGAATTACAATGGAATAGAACCGCTATATTTATAGAAAAAAAATTACTTAGCCACCAACTAATAAACCCTAAAATCTAAATATAGACATTCACCATAAATATAATTTTATTTATAATACTAAAAAATTAATAACGCCTTTTGACCTTTATAACAAAGCCTAGAAATGAAGCAATAGTTGGAAATATTAGAAATTTCGTGTATATTACTGGAAAAGTGACCAGGTACAATGTAACAATATTACTGCGGTGTGGAGATTGGAACTCAGCGTGTGCTTCATCTTGATTCTCGTCAAATTTTCAACTATTTCTGACTCACAAAATAAGCAACATTTTTCTCTTGGTAATTACTACTCCTAGTACTATTAAATCCTTTGCCCCAAAACATCTGTCTTCATTCGCCACCTACCCCAATTAGTCAACTATAACCGCCACCGCGTACCTACTGTCTTCTCCGCCGGCAGCGACGATGGCATCCGATGGGTTCCGGCCGTTGGACGAGAAATCATTAGTGGAGTACATAAAAGCTACTCCTGCTTTGGTTTCAATATTAGGCAAGGAGTTCGATAAACTTGAAATTAAGGAAGTGGGTGATGGAAATCTCAACTTTGTTTATATTGTTGTTGCTCCCTCTGGTTCGTTTGTCATCAAACAGGTGGCGTTCATCTCATTTTGTCCCTGTTCCTTCTCTGCTATAATTATTCTTAATTTTAGTCAATTCGTAGTCAACGGGCTAGGGAGTATTTTTTATTCCCGAAGTGAACTTAGCGATTCCCCGTATTTATTTGTCTCACTTTTTTTTTTCTGCAATCAAGTTATTCTGTTCTTCAAATTGCCGTTTAATAGAAACGATTCTGACAGTTTACTACTATACTCTTTGGATTTGAGTGATCTATACTGATAGAATAAGTGCATTAGCAGTGTAAATTAACCTGTTGTTACACATTATGTGCCCACTTTTTTGGGTTAATTCTTTCCGCATCTTTGTTGGCTTTTAAGTGACTTGAAATAGTACTAATATTTAAGGTGACAGTGCAATCATTGATTATCATGTTTATGTTTCTTATGGTGATGGCGTATGCAGGCTCTTCCTTATATTCGATGCATTGGAGAGTCGTGGCCAATGACAAAAGAACGCGCTTACTTTGAATCCACTGCGCTAAAAGAGCATGGGCGTCTGTGTCCCGAGCATGTACCTGAGGTTTACCATTTTGACAGGACCATGTGTGTGATCGGGATGCGCTACCTTGAACCTCCTCATATTATATTGAGGAAGGGATTGATTGCTGGGGTCGAGTATCCATTGCTCGCAGAAAACATTTCGGACTATATGGCGAAGACTCTTTTCTTCACCTCCCTGCTTTATCTTAAGACAACTGATCACAAACGTGCAGGTGCACCATATTAATCTCAATGGGACTGCATATAGTTGTAGATGTACATATACACTTTCCGCATCTGTGTTTCTGCATTAGGCTTTGTGAATGTTCATGGAAGTTTCTTGTTTATCCGGACAGGGTTCAGTTGTGTGAATACACATAATTGGTTCTTCTATAAAATATACTTCTTACAATGGTTAGGCTACATTACTGAAGGTTAAGCATATTACTGAAAGTTATAAAAACTTATGGTAAGAATTGTAGATATTGGTTGTACGACATGTGGTCTGGTTTCTTCTGTACCTTTGGGGGCAATTATTAGAAATCAGATTTTGACAAGGAGAGCTTTTACATTTTTAAAAACAAAGCTCATCAGGTGAATTACAGTTTATCTATTTCTGATGTAAATGTGCAGTGACAAGCTCTACGTCAGCAAGCTTTTCGTCACTGTCATTTATAGCCATGATGCCAATTCAAAATCTGGATCCTTTAACTCATTAGTACATCTTAACTTGCTCACCTCATCCCCCTTGTTAGTAAAAGGGCAACATCGGTGTGCCATTGCTACACTTGTTGTCGTCAATAAATCTTGCTTTTCTGGTGCATTCTGACTGATAGTTTGTCATTGTTGCTGTCCCTGTCTTTTAGTGAGGCAGTACTTTTATTGAGGACGAATATAGTTACTCAAAAGATTAGAAACCACTTCATGACTTCAAATTTGAAAGTTGGTCGAGCTATCTTTTTTTTTTCTTTTTTTCTTTTTTTCACAATGGTGGTGCCTGGGTCAGCTTGAGCGCACCTCAACTAGCAAGTGTCTACAATTCTGCAAGTTCAAGTGTATGGACTTTTTTACTGTTACAGTCTTGATCTTCAAGTTCAATAATGTCGGATAAGAAAAGTTGAAGAAAAGGGGAAAAAGGGAAAAATAGCTGAGATTCTGAATCAATGACTTCGGAATTGGAATTACAATTATTTATACAGGCTCAACTAACCACCCAACTGCCACTAACAACCGTAACTAATTTCTGGAATTCAATTAGTAACTGCCAAGGTAAAAGTGTAATATTTATAACTACAATCCCTCTCTTTTATTTTAGAACAGCCACACATCCTTTTCATTTCAAACGCATTACAACACCTCAAGCCTCACATATGCTCACTCATAGCATTTACTCTCTGTTTGACACCTGTCTTTCTGCTGAGAAAGTGAGGCTGACCTGACACGAGAAGAAAAAAAAAGAAGAAGGATTAGAGATGAATCATAGTTGTATGTTTCCGGGTCTTCAATTCTTGAGACTTGGCAAGTCTCTTTAGGGTGTTATACAAGTATTTTGGTTGATAACAACAACTACAATAACAACAAACCCAGTGTAACCCTACAAGTGGTGTTTGGGGAGGGTAGTGTGTACACAGGCCTTACCCCCACCTTGAAGGTAGCGACGCTGTTTTTTCGTTAGACTATACAACTATTTTGGTTGATATTTTTGTAATTCTGATATTTGAAAGTTAAAGATTTAAAACAGCAACCAAATTCACCAGGCTAAATCAATTTTGAGCCGTTCTTGAGCACGTCCCTTGTAGTTCGCATAACTCATTGAATTTTCTAGTTATAAATTAAATATGGGACAAGTGCATCCTTTTCAAAAAAGGTACTGGAGAATTACATATGCTTTTCCTCAGATTTTGACATGCGACACATTCTACGCCCGTGGTTTTATATTTATGTGCAAACCTCCATTCTTTTATACTTTTTTTGTAACAAAACTAAGTTGTAACACACCTGGAATAATTGGCCTCTGATATGCTAATTTTATTCTTCTTCCATCTCGAGGAACAAATTTAGCGATAATTGTAATCATTTCATGCATACATTTGGTCTTTTTCATATCATTCAAATTCTTTTAGTAAAATCCTTACACAAAAATGGGTTAAGACAGCCAAAAAAAAAAAAAAATGACAAGGCACAAAATAAATAGGAATAAATATCTTCTCTCCTCTCTTTCGAGCTTATCTTTTCCTTTGTTTTATTGTATAATGTCTTTACCCTGTAATTTTAACTTTTTATTTTTCCTTATATTTGTAACGTTGGAGAAATTATTTGAAAAAGTTGAATGAATAAGTTTATGTACCCAATCCTTGATATAAGCAGAACAATGTAATATTTGTAACTTAAGGAAAGGTTGTGTTACAGGAAGAAATGTCATGGGAGGTTGTGCAATTCTCTCTTTAAATTAAAGAAATCTCTAAATTGTTTTTCCATTCTAAAAGGAATGAAGAAAAGAGAATTAGTCTTTTAATTCTTTTTCTTTCTGTTCTCCTATTTATTTCTGTCTTCTAGCTTGTGATGGGTGACTTCCGTTAAGAAAATTTTGGCTGAAAGGCATACATTGACGGTGGGACTGCTGTTTCTGGTCTATGGTGTGAGTTGTAACTTGAGTCATAGCTTATTTAATAAAATTTAAAGTTGTAGACTAGCATGTAATGTCAAAAATTAGCACAAAGTTCCTGTGCGTGTGTTAAATTTTTGAAGCTGGGTTAGGCCGGGTAGCAGGGGAGGCAACTTTATTTTTCTTTTTTCATCTTGCAACATCTTTATTATGAATTGGAGATCTTTCTTTGCATGTCGCTTATAAAAAAATCTTTCTCTGCATGTGTAGATACTTATTCTAACTAGTTGTAGTTTCTGTTTCGTCTCTTTTTCATTATCTGCGTGTCTGTTTCTTTCTGATTTACGTTTCTCTTGATCTTTTCTTTCGTACCATTTTTTCTTCAACAAATTGAACCATACACTAATCTTCAGCCTTCATCAGGGATTTTCGTCTTATAAGGGTGTACCTGTATGAATCGGCATCTGTTAGCACATTCCCAGGACCAATTAATTATTATGGATTGAAACTATTCACTTTTGGTTTTGATGGCCACTGGCAAGCTATATCATGGCCATGACAGTTGTTTCTGTTTGGTTTTGACCTCTATTCATTTTTTCAGTTGCTGAATTTTGTGGAAACGTCGAGTTGTGTCGGCTCACTGAGCAGGTTGTCTTCTCGGATCCCTACAAAGTGTCACAATATAATCGCTGTACATCTCCTTATCTAGATGCCGATGCAGAGGCAGTTCGCAACGATAATGGTTTGAAGATTGAAGTTGCTGAGCTTAAATCCAAGTACGTTTGTGATTCTAGAAGATGTTGCTATATAGTTCATCTAATTGATATGCTTGACTTTTATCTGTATTTGTTTGCTTTAGCTTGAAAACCACGACAATCTTTATGTAATACTTTGCAGGTTTTGTGAGAGAGCCCAAGCTCTAATACATGGCGATCTCCATACTGGTTCTTTGATGGTCACTCACGATTCAACCCAAGTAATTGATCCGGAATTTGCTTTCTATGGGCCAATGGGTTTTGATATTGGAGCATTTATTGGAAATCTAATTCTGGCGTACTTTTCCCAAGATGGTCATGCGGATCAGGCCAATGACCGCAAGGTATATCTACTGCAACATTTGCCTTTCTATGCTATGTTTCTTTTACTATGATCTCATTGTTTCATAGTAAAGGTCATTGTCCCTCTTTTGATTCTTTCTCCTTGTGCATGATATTCTGGTCCTTAACGTCTGTGATCGCTATTCTGGAATTATAGTTGTTTATGGCTTGCACCTGCTCAGATATATGTCCTATTGCCAGATTTATTCATCTGGAGAAGTTGAGGCATGTCGTTAGGCTGCTTTTTTTTCTTTCTTCCAAAGACATGATTTTAAATCTAAATATTCATCTAAAGATTTCAATGAGTTTATAAATTTCTTCACAAGCTGATAACTGTTTGCAATATGTAATATTTTCAAATGTTAAAGCTCGGTTTCTTGACTTTTAAATTCTTTAATTTTCTTCAAAAAAAAAATTTCCATGAGATGAAAGATCCTTATATGACCTTCATATGCTGACGAATGCATCTTTCTCTGTAATGATTGAGGATAAAAAGGGAATATCTGCATAGAAGTTTTTCCGATAGAGAACAGGTTTTGTTGTGGACTTTTTCTCAGTGGTTCTGAACAAAAGTTAACAGGTTACGCCTTACAGAGGAGGTCTTAAATAGAGGGATGGACAACACTGACATTGTTTTTGGCACTTACTGTTAAACTCGTTTGTTTTCAGTCATATAAAGTTTGGATTCTGAAGACAATAACAGAGACTTGGAACCTCTTTCACAAAAAGTTTCTTGCACTCTGGGATGAGCACAAGGATGGTCCTGGTGAGGCATATCTTCCTGAAATATACAACAATACAGAGCTTCGACAGCTGGTGAAGCAGAAATACATGAAAGAACTCTTTGAGGACACCCTTGGATTTGGTGCTGCTAAAATGATAAGGTGATTGGTCAATTCTTATTTCTAATCTTCGTTCTATGCATGTTCTCTCTCTCTCTCTCTCTCTCTCTCTCTCTCTCTCTCTCTCTCTCTCTCTCTCTCTTCTGTTTTTCTTTTAATTTAACAACCCCTTACAAAATTACATTCCTGCCAAGCAACTAAGCCTTGTTCCAAAATTTAAGAGCAATGGTCTTGTTAATCCCAAGAAAGTTCTGAAGTTTTGGTGCATGTGATTGAAATTCTTATTTTCTTAATAATACACAGGCGAATAGTTGGGGTAGCTCATGTAGAAGATTTCGAATCAATCAAGGATGCTGCCAAACGAGCTGATTGTGAACGACTAGCGCTTAACTGTGCAAAGAAGCTTCTGAAGGAAAGACGAAACTTCAAGAGCATTGATGAAGTTGTTTCCACAATTGAGCAAGGTCATTTGCAATAATGTCTAGGTAAAATAGACGATGTAACATGTTAGCCATTTTGACTAAGCGTTTTGGAGTCTATTAAGATGCATATTAATCAGAAATAATCCCCTGTTATTTAGTGCAATTGCATGTCGGTTGGCAATGGTTAGCATACTGGACAATTGTACTATGTCGGGTCTGTTTTTTCAGTTCTGTTAGGGGTTAAAGTATCTTGGTAAAAATTGGTGAGTTTTTCTTTGATTCAGTAGTCATTCTATTACGGAGGAACTTTATCATTTCCAGTTTACTTCTGCACCAACTTCATATTTTTCACATTCTGTTTTCTTTAGTTGATCTTGATAGTTGCCTATAGGATTTAACAGATTATACTGCAGTCTTGTTGTGTATTTATCTGAAATTACTTCAAAATCAAATGGTTCCGATGGACGATTACCACATTAATTACTGGTTTCTTTTCCACGGACTTTTGGTCCTATTGAGAATGCTAAATTTCTAATTACTAGGTACTAGGTTAAGGAATTGTGATAAAAACTACATACGATTAGTATAATATAACGAGAATTTTTTTTATTTTCAACAATAAATCTGAGTTATATATAACATTTAGATGCAAATCTGTGCTATTTGGTGTCCTATTTCGTTTGTGTGTGATCGTCAAGTTTTGTTTGATACACGGGATCGGATTGTCAATTAGAATACAGCAACAACATCAACCCAGTAATAATTCCACTAGTGGGGTCTGGAAGGGTAGAGTGTACGCAAACCTTTACCCCTATCCCCCTATCCCGAGGGATAGAGAGACTGTTTCGGGAGACCCTCGACTCAGAGATTAGAGTGAGAGGGTTAAAATTTTATTGGTCTGGTGTCCTCTTTGGTATGCCTCCTAAACCGCCAAATTGACCAAAACCCCTCCATTGTGACACAATTTTAGTTTCTTGGTCTTTTAAGATTGAATAGGGATATTTTGGTAGTGAAACAACTAAAGCTAGTTTTTCTTTTCCCTTCAAAATTTTAAATCTTTAATTTTTACGTTATTAAAAAGCCAAAAGCTTGACCTAGTTGTGGGTACAAATGTGATTTTCCACAACATTTTGACCCCTTAACACAATTAAAGTATGATTCTTTTACGTCTTACAGTTATGTTATGCTATAAAAGTAAAATCAAAATTAAGCATAAGAGACAAGACGAACTTATTCCATTTCGAGAAAGCCAACTCCGAAATTATTAGTTGGAACTTTTACATTCCTATACCACATAGGAAACCTTTTTACCCTACATGTTTAAGGTTTGAGTAAATTACACTTAGTATACCAAATTACCAATCCTATACCATACTTAATTAAGGGTCTAATTAATGGGCTGTTTTTACTCCTTAATTAAAGGTATCCATATCTAATTAATGGGCAGTTTTTACTCCTTAATTAAAGGTATCCATATATCTCAGGTTTCTCTCTCCTTACCCCTCACCCCCTCACCCACGTTTTTACCCATACCCCACATTCTTTCTTGTTCTTCATCCACGATTGCAAGATCAATCAACGAAAGATGTCCTTGAGATGCATTAGCCAGCGAAATCTCATTATATTTGAATGTCGTGCCAATTTCCTCTGCAACAATTGTGGCATGTGATCTGATTTTTTGAAAGTCTACATGAAATCAAAAGTTGCAACAAACGTTTTAATACGCCACGAATTAGCAAAACAATGAAAACAGATACACTTTAGTAGTTTTTTTTTGGGTACCAAACAAAATTCCCTCTTCTGGAAAAGTCAAAAATGAGAAATTTATTGGTAAAGAGACTAATATGAAAAGCTGCAGACAACTTCTCCAAACGACTTAGAAATACTGACTGTTGAAGCCCTCACCTAGATTTACTGTTTGTCGTGTATTTGTAGTGTAATTGCAGTGTAATTGTAGTGTAATTGTAGATTTAGTGTAATATATGATCTGTTGAAGCCCTCACCTAGATTTACTGTTTGTAGTGTAATTGTAGTTAGTTTGTAGTTTATGTAGAACATTCCAAGATTAATTGTAGTCTAAAATGTAGATATAATGTAGACATGATTGTGGATGATGTGTTTCCTGTTTGCCCTGTAACTGTAGGTAAATTGTAGTTATTCTTATATTAGGTACTTAAACTGTAGGTAATTTGTACATTCACTGTAGGTAAACTGTAGGTAAGTTTGTTTGAATTGTAGAACTGGTTTTATACATAATTGTAGAGTTTTTGTAGTTAATAGTAGTTATAATGTAGGATTCATGTACCGCTTCACACCATCTATCACAGTATGAATATGATCTGTTGAAGCCCTCACCTAGAATTACATAACAAACAGCAATAAAAATATTTACAATCATAAAATAGTTTATCTACAATTTATCTACAACGTATCTACAATTATATCTATAAATTACCTACAATCTACAAATTAACTATAATTTGTCTACAAATTATATACAATCTACTATTTGATTTCACGATGTATTTGATTTCTACAATTTTTTCTGTAGTATCAATTGATACTTGTTCTGCAATTGTAGAAATCAGGATACTGTAGCTTGCATTCTCATCTACCACATGGCATTAACTTCAAAATCTCTAAATCTGCCATAATTATCCCAATCCCCATTAAATTGTAGCATGATTGCGGTTTTGGACATGATTTGTTGTTGATGTTGATTTTTTTTGGATTTCTAGATTGAAAGAAGAAAAGATGAAGAAGAGATATATCTGATCGATAATTTGATAGAAGCAACGACGAAGAACAGATTTTTTTCAACTTTGAGTTGTTGAAACTCGAAAATTTTGAAATCTACAATTTGAATTCAGCTCGTCAAAACTCTTAGTAGTTGAATCTGTTCTTATTTTTAGGAGCTGTTCGTTCTTTTTTTTTTTCTTCAGAATTTGAATTGTAGTTCTGGAGAAAAAAACGCAGATGAGAAATCTCCTTTCCCTTTTTAAAAATTGAATTTAATGTAGAATCAATTATCACTAAGATTCTCTCCTTAATTTTAGCGCGTTTTTTAGGGAATATTCTGCTCCTTTAATGCCTAATAGTCGAATGGTACAAATTTTGTAGGTAAAATGTGGACTGGGCGGGTAATATACAAAATATGCATATTTTTGGTAACTAGTATCTATGAACGTGCGTTGCACGTTAATAATGGCACGTGATGATTTAAATATTTATTTATATAAAAGAACAATAAAATTTTATTAATCTGAGAAATTTTATGTATAATAATACAACAATCATCGAAATGCCAAAAAATATAATTACATTAGCATAATACATGAATTTAAAATAAAACTTACACAAATGATCAATTTTGTCATGTTAGTTAGATAATTATATATTATAGTTTAAAACTATCTAATGTAATGGTATCTTAACGAACACTTTTTTTGAACAATATTTTTTTGTGTATGTTTCCTCCTAATGCATTGGTTGCTCTGCCTTAACCAGAACTCTTGCTGTCGATCTTAATATCCCGCTTGAAAGTACAACATACAGTTGTTCATGCAAGAAAATATATTGTGTTAAATATAGTCCAATATTTAGGATGTTTGTCCTTTTACTTTATTTATTATATTTGTAAAACATAAACATACTAAAAATTATTTTCACACAAATTCAAAAGGATATTCCTTAATTTCGGAAGACTAAAGTTTAATTCACAGATAAGAATATACTTAGAAACACATTAACCAGTATCATAATTTTTGTCAAAACTTCTATATACCATCTGTGTACTATTGCATAAGCTATTCGTCGTATCTAAGTCTTTCAGTAGCATGATGGACATATTTTTCTTCAAAGTTAACCTATATACAATGGAAAATCAATTTTAACTTAGTCTATTATATATATGGTGATACTAACATACATAAGAAATAAGAAACTTGACAACAAACATGTATGGTAGAAGGCCATTTGGTATTAAAGTATTTAAGTATTCTTCTTGGTAATAATTATTGTTATCATTTTCTGCTGAGTCAAAAACTGAAAAATATTTTTTTTTACAATAAAATTTGGCAATCAACCCTTTATTTAGTTGATCAACATATTCATTTGTGCTAGATAAGATATCTTTTTAATTCTATCATGTGATTTGCACAGATTGCATTTTAATCTAATGATAGAAACATTTCTCTTATTAAATGCACTACCATTACCATTGGGATTGATAATCAAGTTTTTAGGAAGAACCAAATCATCTTTTATTGGATGCTCTTCTTTGTTTTCGACATAAAGCAAGTAGATATTGAATATTAGATCTGTTCTTACTTTATATTTCTTGTAAGTTGAATCTTTTTCGTACGGGCCAGAAGTAAAACTTTGGCAAGCTAGCTTTTACAGTCTATGCTTTTATCGATTTTGGAACTACTGATAATACTTGACAGAAATCACCTCTCAAACTATTAATTTTCACCAAATGGTTCATTAATATTCAATATATATATATATAGAACTCCAGGCAATTATTTCGATCGTCTGACACTTAGCCATAAGTGCTTCATCCCATATTATCAATTTTGCTTTCCTTATAAATTTAGCACCATTGCTCTGCTTATATTTGTGATGGTTAGTTAAGTTGTTTGAAGATGTATATCAAATCCAAAGTAGATGGCCTCGCAATAAAATCATCGTTGGTACACCACTTGCTATTATTGCTAAGAGTGTCATGCCTCTTAATATGATGTTTGCAAGTAATGCATGACATAGAAATATTACTTCGATTCCGCCGGAGGCATCTACAAAGAATAATCCCGTTATACCTGAGTCGACTCTTTATAATATAGTCTTGAAAGTTTGTTCTTGTTTAGGATGTAGCTTTGATTGTGCTTCCTCAGACAATTGTGTAGCATTTTGATTCTTAATAATATACTAACATTTTTACTTTGTGTTGTAACGCTTTTTTTATGGAATATATTCATGTACCCTAAGATTTTTTTAAACTTGAATAAGAATTTTACTCATATAATAAATTTTAAAAAAAATTGAAATGGATTCTCTTGCTAAATAATTAATTAACAGACTTAGTTATTTGGTTTGAATATAAAAAATAACTTATTATACGTTGATTTAGGTCTTAATATTAGTTCATATCTTGTTTTGAACATTTAATCGTAATTATAATTTTATCCACCATAAATTTTATTTCAAAGAGTAAAAGATTGATATGACATTTCACTTTTAGATCTTTATGTTTGTAATGTTAGGAATCCTATTAGTATAATTACTTTCCGGCTGTCTAATTCATTTAAAATTGAACAAGTAAATATTTTTAGTCATGTAATCCCATTACTTTTAGAATATATTTCTTAAGAATTCCTATTACTAATTTAATTTGAAAATATATTATAATATCCTATTACTAATTAAATTTGAGAATGTATTTATATTGTCCAAATTCATTTAGAAAAAGAATAGCCTATATTATTATACAAACATAAATACAATATTAATATACCAATTAGAAACATAAATTGATTTAATTCCTCTGTACTATCTTCTCTCCCTTGAAAGTGAATAGTACGGCTAATACTCTAGATATTTTATTTCTTAAAATTAAATTAGACATTATTAAAACTTTTTAATTAAATTCCCGTGTCTTACATTCTCTCATTTGTCCGCTCATACTATTGCTCCTAATAATGAACGATTCAAATGCTACTTAAACTAAAAGATGGAAAAGTTAATTTGGAATCATAAACCAATTAGAATAGAATTCCGAGACACGTTGTTTTTCCTAAGTCAACTAATCTCAAAAGAAAAAGGAAAATAACAATATTACTATTATATCCAATAATATAGTTATATTTTAAGGCTATTTTGGTCTTCCAACATCGTATTCATGCTTTTATAATAATTTAGATAGATAGATAAACTTTCATATATGGTATAGGAAGGAAAAAATCCCCTTTTAGTTTACATGCAAATATTGGCATCCAAAATTACCAAACATAAGGATCTTTTATAGACATCTAACAAAACGATAGAAGAGGAAATAATAAGATAAATACATGGCTGTGGCTTCATAATTATTGAACATTACCAATAGAGCGTCTTCGTATAGCTATAGTATTTTGAAGGTGTTTGGATTGACTTATTTTAAGTGCTTATTGGCTTTTAAGCACTTTTTTAGTTTGTGTGGTGTTTGGCATAGATAAAAAGTGCTTAAAAGCACTTACTTTTAGGCATAAAAAGTACTCCCTCCGGTCCAAAATAAGTGATTTTTTAACTGTTTTCATACAGATTAAAAAATCCACCTTTTAACATTAATTAGCTATGAAATTGACCATATTAACCTTTACTATCTCTTCACATAAACACTCCTAACACATACTCCAACACTATTTACTCCAAGGGCAATGTAGGAAAAAAAATAATTAATTCATTCTTGAAATCTGAAAGTCACTTATTTTGGACCACAAAAAAAAGGCAAAAAATCACTTATTTTGGACCGGAGGGAGTACAAAAATAAGCCAAAAGCCAAAAGTTGGGTATTACCAACTTATGACTTTTGGTTTTTAGCTTAAAAGCTACTTTTTATAGAGCAAATTATGTTATATACCCATAAAAGACAAAATATTTATGCGTATCTACCCATGTTCATTTCTATTACATTTTATACCTATGCGGCACATTTATTTTACCCGCTCTACCCATTCTTATCTTTGCCATTGCTTAGCATGAAATTTCATATTGCCAGATTCATATGCACCTTTGTTTATCTTTTAAATGCACCACATTTCCTAATGTGTTTTATATCTTATCATAATAATACTAATTAAAAATAATATAATATAATATTTATTGAATAATATATAAAGTTATTAAAATATATGAACTTGGAGGCACAAAAATATATTATTATGAAGATNTATATATATATATATATATATATATATATATATATATATATATATATATATATATATATATATATATATAGAGTATGCTATATGATGTAACGGTATACTCTTACAATTAGATCCTTTTAGAATTTTTAATTTTTTTTTACAGCTGATATTATTTCATTTTAATAATTGAATTAATTTTTTTTAACTCTTTGCATATAATTGTATACCCTGTTGGTATAACTATATACTATACTGGTATCATATGTTAGTTAATATTTTTTTGGTTGTATTAACTAAATTTAATTGGTACACAATTTGATTTTTCTTTCGTAATAATATAAAAAAAAGAATAATAAAAAATAATGAAAACAGTAAATAAAATTAGATTATGAAGAGAAAAAGAATATAAAAAATAGAAGTTAAATGAAATTAGAAAAGAAAAAAAAGAAAACAATAAGAAGAAAACGAGAAAAAAAAGGAGAAAAGAAAAAAAAAGAAAAAAGAAAAGAAAAGAAGCATAGAAATAAAAAAGAATAAAGAAAAAATTCCCCACAAAACCTACTATGGGTAGGAAATGTAATTAGTTTATGGGTAGGAAAACAAATGGGTAGACAAGGGTAAATAGTTTTGTTTTTGTGGGTAACTGTGTGAAAACCCCTTTTTATAAGCCAATCCAAACGCCCTCTTTATAACATGCGCATGGATCTGAAAAACCTGATAATTGTTTTGGATATTACACATATATTGAACTCTTATTTTATTTGATAAACATGCAAGGTACATATATATTGCATTATAAATTAGTCACATGAGTAAGATAACGACTTGTTGTTAGCCCCTTGTACTTATTCTTATTATAGTATTATTTATTCAACAAAGGTTAACTATCTCAGACAACGTTACACTATGCACGAAATTTAGCTTTGTAATCCCTCCAAAGTTGATCAACCGTCTTCCCCAACAAGTCAACAAAGAACTGATTACTATAGCCATTTCTCATCTTTTTGTTAAGTTGTGCCACAAACCCATTTCTCAAGCTGTTGCAGTAATCAAGAAATCGAGCAGTCACGTCGTAGCCCTGATCCCATCGATCGCCCTGCCCTGGTTTCACCCAGTGACTAGGTGCAAAACCAGCTTTGAGCCTCACATAATCAGCAATACCTTCAATTAATCCACCGGGAGCCTGACCGTTCCCGTTCCATTGCCAAATGTGGGTGCTCTCGTGGTACAATACTCCGGTCATCTCTCTCTTGACATTACCAGAGTAACTCTGAATATACCTGCAAAACACAAATTTAAAGGCATCACTTAATATACGCATATATGTGTATTTTTGAGTTTGAGATGTGCGCGCACCCTCTGCTTATTTACTGAATCAATTTATTGCATACCTGGCACTAACATGAATCTCATTGTTGCTAGCGTAAGCTACTCCGCCCATGTCATCGACGAACATACTTACCTTTCGAACGTTTTTGCGGTCAGCCGGAGAGTTCTGTTGGAAGATTTTCCATATGAAAGAAGTGGAAGCTGCGAGTGTTTGTTTGCTATATTGGGCACCGATATCTCGGTTGAAACGGGCACCGCCGGGGGTGTTTGCAGCCGTGTTGGTAACGGCGTAATCTACTGCATGGATTTCACGGGTGAATATTGCAAGGATAATTAGTAGAGAAGCAAGAAAGGAAATCATGTTAGCCATGTTTTAATTTGCTCCAAGATAGTAGTGATATGGTATGTAAGAAGACAATCTCTTATATATATATAGTTTTTCCATATACTTTGAAATAGTGATGCTGGACTAAGTCAGTTGAGTTTCCCAACCCCCCCCCNNNNACCCACTATAGAAATGATTCTGGACATCACATTCCCCACGTTGATGGGGTACCCTGCCATGATAGAAGCCACCAGCACAGCCCGGGAAAGAGGAAGGGTGTTGTCATGTGTTGTGGGGTCCAACCTGCTACATACAAAGGTCTCCCATCCCCGTGCCTCAAAGTTTAAGGTCCGTCTCAAGATCTTGACTCCAGCGGTCGATCAGTCGGGGGTGGTACCTGGGATTGCCAGGTACTGTGCTAGCCAGGGACGAACCTCCTCACCCATCTCCATCTTCGCCATGTACAAGGTTTCATCCTCCTCATCTTCCCTTCTAACAGTGTTATTTACATGTAAAAAACACGTACAACATACGTACACTAAAGCTAGTCTTAACAATAAAAATAAAAACAAGCTACGGAAAGGGAAAATGGCATTTTTAATGCTTGAGTTATTGGCTTTTTGCGATTTTAATCCCTATTTAATTGGACTTTGCACATTAAACTTCACGTAGACAAAATGTGTACGGTATTTGTCAAAAAATACTCCAATTAAATTTTTGCAACATCTATGACCAAATGGGTCCTAACTTCATGTTAATGGCATTAGCTTAAAAAGAAAACATTTCTTTGTCTATTATGTTACCCAAAGAAATCCCCTACATTTGTTGACGATTAGTCTCTATATTTGTGTAATTTCTTCCCTGCAGTTTTAGCAACTTTTCTTTAAGACTTAATTTGTTTTTAGAAAGATCACATTTGCAAATCATTTGTGTTTCGATGAGATGTTAATATAATATAGACATAAGTTCATAATATAATAAATGGGAAAATGTGAATTCTACATTTTATTTTATTTTAATTTATTATTGGTATGTTAAGTTTTTCACACTCATCAAAGAAATCATCGTGAATTCTAAATTTTATTTTGTGATTTGATATTCGTCCAGTAAGTTTCTCACACATCCATTAAGTTACCCTTTATCATTCCTCAATATGAGTAATAAATTTTAATGGACCTTTTAGAAAATTAAATAGATCATTTATTTGGAAAAAGGGTAAATTCGAAAAAAAACAATGACCAGAATGTTTCTTGATTTCTAAAGTGACACTTATTTTATATCAAATAAAATAGTATGGAAAGAAGAGGCTTGCTTCAGGCTCTGGTAAACATTAGGCATAGAATTTAACCTTGAACGTCCAGTGAATATGTCAATCACTTTAATTTTAAAGATGATGTTGCTAAAAGCCGCCTAGTATGATAAACGAAAATTTCCAACTAGTTTTATTATAGTTGGTCAAGTCAGGCTTTCATGCCGTGAGGATGTAACTTTCTAATAATCTATTACACACCTTGCTTGAAAATGCACTTACTCATCAAATGGTTATATTATTTTATCTTCTCATTTCAGGATCAGGTCTTAAAGCTCATTGCACCTGAATTCAAGACGGGTTTGGGGTCGCGGAATCAAGTCATCAGCACGTCCAAAATGCAGATAAAGACTTTTTATAAAAAAACTATTTAAACAAACAGAGGCAGCTTGACGGTGTTGGTGGTCTAAAGCCAAAAATATTAAGAGGCCGACCTCTTAAACTTATTTAATAAATTTCATACAATAGTGAGATACAAAATAACTTGTCTTTTGATCTATGGATCAATCAAAAAAAAAAAAATAGCTAATATGAAAAAACTGAGTCAAAATCAGAAAGTCAAGCGTCAGAACATAAAAAAAAAATGAATATACATAGATGAAAAATAAGAATTGAAGAAGAAGGTAAATATACCCGGTTAATGAGAGAAAATATTATATATCGTTATTGACTCACCATCTATACAACTCCAACCAAATTAAACTTTAATAGTTATTATAAAAATTATATCTTATATATAGTAATAGAGCACGCTAAGTAGTAGCAGTGATAATGGTAGTATTTGCAGACTTGCAGCAGTTTTGATGGTAGTGATACTAAAGAAGATATTCAACAATACTAATAACAGTGATGATATTGACAAAAAAATACAACAATGATGATGATCTAACCGGTACTCCGTAGTTAATACTAGTTCATATTTATCGTCCTCCGAATATAATTCAATAAAGCACACAAGAGTGATACAATGAAGACTTGAAGTACCGACAAGGATTTTGGTGGAGTGGTAAGTACTCCTTCATCCTTAACCAGAGGTCTCGAGTTCGAGCCCCTGGGTATGGAGTCGCCTTTGTTAGGGAGCGCTTTACCTCCCAACGTGGGACTTCCCGGCGCGGATCCGAATTAGTCGGACCCCAATGTGGGTACCGGATACCGGGTGAGAAATAAAAAAAAAAAGACTTGAAGTCTGCTTAGGGAGTTGTACGTAGAGCTTGCGGGATTGTAATTAACGGTTAAGTTGTTTAGAAGTCTGCATAGGTAAAGTTTTGAAAGCAGTACACTTAAGTCCTCTAAGTATCTTTTTATATTTCTTTTAATCCCACAGAATTAGGTATGCTATTTTGACAGTTAGTGTGTAGTGGAGGCATATATATCGGTGTACTTGTCCACTATTGATTATGATTGAAAATTCCATTTCTCTTTTTGCTTAACTTTATCTTTTAGCTGTAATTTTATTCTTCTTTCGCTGGAACCCTACTTGCCGCAACAGTGCTATCAAGGCAATTCCTCGGCTCTGTGGATAATGGCTACTGAAATGAATGCGGTCATGAATATGCCGCACAAGAGAGAAACGGAGGTGACTCAATTTTGCAGAGAAGCAGAACCAGCTCGAAGCAAGTCACGAGCAGTCTTGCCACATCATGAGAAAGCTATGAGCGAGATGAGGGAAGTACTCAATAGGGTAATTCACGCAGGAAAGAGACATGAACGAGATAAAGGTTTGAGCTATAGTGGTGAAGAATTGTATTCCCCTAACGACAAGCCTTTCAACCTTGGTGAGTTAACTATACTTGTCATTGTTGGGTTCAATAGTTTGGTTGCAACTGGAATGAGTAGTGAAAATTTAGCTAATGTTTCACCTCATGTTAGTGGACAAACTCAGATTTCTCTGCCTTTTGCTTCTAGTGTTCCAACTCCAGCTAGTGTACAGACCCAATTTTCCCCTAATGTATAAATTAGCCCTATTCCAGCTTTTGTGATGCAGGTTTCCCATATGCTGCATAACACTAACCCACCATTCCAAAGCTACCATTCACGGGTGTCCGCAACACAACCAATCCAATCTCAAAACTAACAGTCCCCACAACCCAGACATATAGGGTCCCAACCACAGCCTTTCTATGTCTAAACTGAGCCTCACAAACAAATTCAGTTCTATAACCTAGGAGCCCCTAGCAATGTGCCAATACCCTATAATTCCTACAACCAGAATGCCCAATTCCCATTTGCTTACAACACCACTACAACACATATTCCACCCTCATTATACCACCAATTTTCCTATGCCCCAACACCAACTTCCTATCAAAACACCTTCACAAACAACTACCCTCAGAACAACCCTCAAACACCATAAAATAACCATAATGTCCCATTACCCAGGATACCCTTTACCAAATATACTAAGGTGGAATTCCCCAAATTCAATGGGAAAGACTTGAGAACCTGGTTGTATATGGTGGATCAATTTTTTGCTGAAGAGGATGTTACCATACAACAGAGGATGAAACTGGTTTCCCTACATTTTGAAGGAGATGCCTTACAATAGCATTTGGGCTACATATGGAGTAAAAAACAGACGGGCTTTCCCACTTGAGAAGAGTACATATGGGAATTATGTGATAGCTTTGGAGTTGAATACTCTGATCCTATGACAAATATTATGAACATCAAGCTTATATGAACAATGAAGGATTACCAAAAGGCATTTGTTGGGGTGGTGACTAGGCTGGATATTTTAGTTGATCGTGGTATCAGCATCTTCCTGAACAACCTCAAGACATAGCTTAGTCAGGCACTGAAGGTTGGCAATCCCTGCACCTTGCCACAAGCCTACTACTTAGCAAGACTACATGAGGTAAGTGTTGCTGCTCAAAGCAAAGCCATTAAGGGTTCCTCCTTAGGTAACTCTGGTAATTGGCAGAAGAATCATACTAGCACCTTTAAGAAGCCTATCACTACTATGTTTGTAAACAACAGAAGAAAAAGGCTAAGCCCAACATAAATGGAGGAGAAGAGGTCTAAAGGACTATGTTTCTTTTGTGATGAGACATATGTAGCTGGCCACAAGTTCCAAGCTAAAAGGCAACTGTTCTCAATGGAATTGGAGGCAATTGGAGATATAGAGGAGGAAGAAGAAATTGAGATGGAAGTAGAGTTGGGAGGAAGAACATCATGGAATAATAGAACCTCTTGAAAATTGTGCTATTTCACTACAGGACTTAAATGGAACTATGGGTTACCAGACTTTAAGAATTAAGAGATTCACAAAGAAGTAACTATTAGAGATCTTTATTGATCATGGTTTCACTCACAACTTCATACATGAGATGCTGCTGAAGGTTAGCTTGCAAAATCAGTAAGACCAAGCCCCAGTTAGTGCAAGTAGAAGATGGTAGGGAGGTACCAACTAGAGTATGTAAAGGGTTTCAATGGTTGATGCAAGGTGCAGCGTTCCAGGATGACTTCTTAGTGTTTCCCATTGGCAAGAGTGATGTAGTACTGGGAGTACAATGGCTCTACCACTTGGAGGACATCAAACTCAATTTCAGAAAGCTTATGATTGAATTTGATTACAAGGGAAAGCTACTTATTCTGCAGGGAATACAACCCACCTTCAAAACTGTGAATGCTAAATCTTTAGAGAAAATGTCAATAGGGGGTTCACAACTTTTTATGATCAAATCAAAGTAAGGACAGAAGAGACGGAGGCAGAGGTGACAGAAGTCCTTGGGGAAGCTCATCTTGGGGAAGATGGGGAATCTCA